TCATGGTTAGGAAACATAACCATCTTTGATTAACGAGCTAGTCAAGTAGAGGCATACTAGTGACACTCTGTTTGTCTATGTATTCACACATGTATTATGTTTCCGGTAAATACAATTCTAGCATGAATAATAAACATTTATCATGATTATAAGGAAATAAATAATAACTTTATTATTGCCTCTAGGGCATATTTCCTTCATTCTGTCAGTCCAGGATAACACTAAAGATGTGCGTTTTTTCTAAAGATGGACATTAACGGTAATTTAATTCTATAATGCTCATAATTCATCATAGATACAAAATCAACTATAAAGAAAAATATATGTAAGGGCCTCAATGATTTAGAAGAATTTTGTAGGAATTTTGGAAGATTTTATTTCATAGGAATTTTTCGGCTAGAGCTAGTTGGTATGTAAGATTGAGAACTGTATATGATTTTTTATATTCGTTCGCATGTAATTTCAAATAACAAATTACACTAATTTCATGGTAATTCTTCCCCATTTGTATTTTATGACAGCTACGAAACGCACCTAGTCCTTTTGGAATGTGTATTTTTTTACTCCCTCCGTCTCAAAATAAATGTCTCAACTTTGTACTAAAATTAGTACAAAGTCATACTAAGGTTAAGGCACTTATTTTGGGATGGAGAGAGTACAATGCAACCAAACAACTTACATCGCAATTCTACCAGCTTCCTATTTCTGCATTTTTTAGAATTGTTGAAAATAAGGAGGCCCTTAAAATGAATTTGGCAGTGTCAATTTTCTTTCACATAATGTATGAAATCAAGTGTTAATCTTGCACCCTAAAAGAAAGAAAAAGAGTTGCAGTCTTGTCCATGTTCACGCCGTAAAAGGCTAGGAGAAAATCAATGGTAGAATCTCGAATACACTAGTAGAATCAGTTTAATTCCCAAGTGAATGCGGCCACATTAGTGTTCGTAACATAATAGTTTATAGTAATTTTCCATGAAATGGGATACACATTCTTGTTTTTCAAACACGATAATGGCAATCTACACAACACAGCACACTGAAACAGACTGACTCGCTCCAAGACATATGAGCTTTAATTAGTGCAGCACTTTAGCATTCTTCGCTTCGAGACACCGATTCAACTCTAGATACATGTCTAGTTAACAAAATGCACTAGGATCAGTTGACTAGGATGGAAAATTTCTAAAGGAGTCCATCCCCATATGGTCATCCTGGGAAGGTTACTTCTCGTAGAAAGCTAACGGAAGTTCATGAAGTCACAAATCCTGATGCTTCTCAGCCCTAGGATGTATGTGGATTTCAACGACACTGAAAAATGAATTCTAACTAAGTGCAAAACCTGTGTACATTGAATATGTGGCATGCTGAAATGAACCTAGCAACGACTAAGCTCCACTCCTTGGTACACAAATGATGGCTTCTTAGAGTCATTGCTCTATCTCTCTTCCCACACTTAAATAGGAACATTGTGTGATCCACCAGACATGTGATGAATGCTTTCATGCAATTCAATACTGCCATATGAGCACATGGCATGGGCATTTTCGAATTGTTGTGAGTGTCCTCGTGAAGTACCTATAGATGAGCACATCACAAGCACCTCACCAAGGATTATCAGACCTTCAAACTGAAACCACCTAGCAAGTAGTGAGTTGTGCTAGCGTGACAATATGTTTGATTATGCAAATCAGGAGTCCCGTCTTTCATGCTAGTATTCGAGAACATGTTCGTTTACTAGTTCCTGGTAGGATGCTTCCCGGTATCACCTTGAAATTCTGAATGAACTGTGATGCTATATGTTTGCTAATAAGTACATATAGGTTAATTTTGGAGATTTCTCTAGAAGCCGGAGAATTGTTGTGGCAGTCCATTGGATACTATAAGACGTTCATGTTTTCTAAAGATAAACATTGGCTGCATTTTCTTTTATCATACATAGATGCAAAATCACAAACTCTATATAGAAAACTAGCTGCACAAGACAATCTTCTTGATAGTTGAGTATCGATTTATTTATGAGTGATCAATAGGGGAAAATTATGATCGTCATTTACTTGTTCACTAGAAAACATGCAACTTTCTGACACGAAGGACATCACAATGAGATATTAAATTCATGGGAATAACATGCAAGGCACGCTTGCCATCCTTACACTTCCAGTATAACATGCATATATTATTTTATCAAGAGCTTAACGACTTCGAAACCACACAATAACAATAAGACCGAGTAGCATAATGATTTTCCAAGTGCTCGTCCACTTATTTAGCCATATATAAAAGTCGATGCAGATGTAGAACAACCGACTCCTAGATGCTTATGGGTAGTACATCCGATCATCACGAGCAGTTGTTGGGTATGGTGAGACCACACTTGCCAGGCAGCGCCATGGCGCGCTTTGCGTCGATGTGGTACTTTCTCAGCCATATGCCAGCGATGCCTTTGTACCGGCAGATACATGATAGGTTGGCCTTCCCAAGCGCAGCACAACACTCAGCCAACGGACTGTCTGTGGGGTTATTCACTGCCGCTGCGGGCTGGCAAAGCTTGAATTCATCATTCGACATGCCGCAAACGCCATGAACACCCTCTAGTGCGGCAAGGGACACCGACATGACAAGCAACAATGCTGCAGCCAATGCATGTGCCTTAGCCATAACTGTTGGTAGTGTTATTATGTTATCTAGTGGATTGCTAGAGGAGATTTGGTCTTAGCTAGGTTTTGCTTTGGAAATGTGTGAGATGAATGTTTGGTGTATGGCTCTATTTATAGGGGCAGGCCTCTGTGTTCATGAAGTGTGTATTTTGCATGAGGGAAGAAATTAGGCACTCAAGTGCTGCTCACATGTAGAAGCATATTGTCTTATCATGCAAACAAAAATCTGCACTTGAACTCACTGTTGAGCGATAACGACTACCATAGTTGGCAAAACGATATGTAATGAAGCAAAATTTCTGATTTCAACATCAAGAGTACGCTGCAAATTAAGATCAGTTCTTCACAATGATGACGAAAAAGGGTTTCCCCTCGCTTTGTATTACAAAGCAAACATCCAATACAACCAACGATAGGTGCTGGGGCGGAAGCAGCACAACCACGCCCAAAAGAAAAGAAAGAGAAAAAAGAAAAGAAACAAATGCCGATAACGGCGGATCGACAAAGACGACGGAGCCTCGCGACCGCTGCTTCCACCGAAGATCGTTCCCCAAGCTACGAGACTCCGGAGCGCCAGTATCAATTAACACCTCCAAGAAGGGACGCGACGATGACGACGCTGCTGCCAAGGGTTTCCCCCGGTACACGGCGAGGAAAGAGGAAGGGTAGCCCCGACGCCCTCCAGGAAGGTCCGATGGCACCCTCAGGCGCCACCGCGTCGGTGTCGGCCAAGCCAACAGGGATTTCTCCCGATCCCATCCTCCACCTCAGACACTCCGGTGCTCGCCACCAAACTGACCACCACCCTGGCACACGGACACGAAGCATCCCACGCTGTCTCACCACGATACCGCGAAGATGGCATGCACAACGAAGAAGGGGAGCCGGGACTTGGGCCGCAGCACTGTCAGCGTACTGGAGGGACCCACCTCCACCGTCCACGACGGTAGCCGACCGGACGCCAAAGTGGGAGCTTGCCGGGCCCGTGGCCCCACAGGCCCGGCCGGGCCCTTAGAGGCCCGGACAACTCCCACCTCCGCGTCGCAGCATGCATGCCGTCGGCGTCGCTGCCCCCCGTTCAAGCTGCTCCACCACCTCACCACACAGACGACGACGAAGCCACGCCGGGGGCCGGCCCGCTAGAACCCAGATGGGGCCCGCGGGCCCCAATCTGGGCCGGGGGCGCGTCTCTGGCCAACCAGTGCCACCACGTCGTCTCGCCGCCAAGGGGTTGCGCCACCATCGAGCGAGCCGCCGGCCACCGCACCGGGAGGCCGGGCCGTCATCAGGCCGAGGGGCACCGCCGCCGCCTCCATGCCCTGGGCAGGGAGCCCTGCGCGCGGGGACAGGCAGGCCCCGCCGCCGCCAACACCACCCGGCCCGCGCCGGGAGCGCCCATCGGCGGCGGCAGGGAGGGAAGGCGCGACAAGGGCGGCCGAAGGGGAAGGAGGGCTCGCGCCGCCCCGTCCACCTCCCTGGGAGGCGGCACAGAGCGGATCCGGGGGAAGGGGGGAGGGAGGGGAAGGGGACGGGGCGGCCGGCGACCGGCGGCCGGCGACCGGCGGCGGCGGCGGGGGCTAGGACGGCCGGCAGTGGCGGGGGGAAGGAGGGAAGAACCCTAGGTCCTCTCTAGTCGTGTACACCCTGGAAGGTGAGCTTTTTTGGTTGCCCACCCACAAGCTTTTTGCGTGCCTTTAAAATAAATTACAAAAGAGAAACGGCTCATGATAGCATTTGAAAATTGAATTGTTTAACTGACCGACGATTAAAGGCAAGCACTGAAATCTCTATGGTATATGCTCCGCTGCCGAATTAGAGAGTATTTGACAAAAAACTACCACATTAGGGGTTACCGTCCCACAAAACTACCACTTCCAAAAAAGTGACTGATAACTACCAAAAATTTCTAATTTTGTGACTAAAAACTACCACTTTTGAAAAATAATCAGTTTAGAAGATCTAAACATGTTTATGACATGCGGGGCCCACCCGTCAGAGCTGATGTGGCGGCAAAGTCAACTCCATTTATTTTAACCATTACGTTGACTGTTATTACAAGTGGGGCCCACCTGTCAGCATCAATCTTCTTCTTCCTCCTCCTCTCTCCCCCACCGCTCCTTCCCGGCGCCCACCCACGCCTGGTCCGGCCGCATCTGGGCGCGCACCAGCTGCGTGCCCACCGGCGGGGCTGGGCAGCTCTGCTGCGCCACGGGCGACTACGGCGGGTGGCTCCATTGCGGGGGCCTCGGCGGCGTGGCGCCCGCCACGCTGGCACGGGTCTCCCTCCACCACGGCGGCGACGACCAGTCATCCTATGGGGTGAGCGTGGTGGACGGCTTCAACATGGGCATGTCAGTGACCCCGCATGAGGGCCGCGGTAACTGCCCCGTCCTCGCCTGCCGCAAGGACCTGACGCAGACCTGCCCCGGCGAGCTGCAGGTGCGTGCGGCGGCGGGCGGCGGCGTTGCCGCGTGCAAGAGCGGCTGCCTGGCGTTCGGAACCGACGAGCTGTGCTGCCACAACGCGTACAACAGCCCGGCCACCTACCGCCCCTCCAAGTACTCGGACTTCTTCAAGAGCGAGTGCCCGCAGGCCTTCACCTACGCCCACGACAACCCCTCCCTCACCCACCAGTGCTCCGCGTCGTGCGAGCTCAAGGTCATCTTCTGCCACTAGAGTTGAGTCCAACGGCGCTCGAGCCGGCGGGACGCGTGCCGCCGCTGCCGTCCGTCGTCGGTGGGTGCACACAAGGTGTTTGAGGAAATGGCAAAGAGAGAAAGTAGGAAGAGGGAGAAGAAAAGTGATGCTGACAGGTGGGCCCCACTTGTAATAACGGTCAAAATAAACGGAATTGACTTTGCCGCCACGTCAGCCCTGATGGGTGGGTCTCGCACGTCATAAACATGTTTAAATGTCTAAAGTGGTCATTTTTTAGAAGTGGTAGTTTTTAGTCACAAAATTAGAAATTTTTTGTTGTTATCGGTCACTTTTTTGAAAGTGGTAGTTCTGTGGGACGGTAACTCCTAATGTGGTATTTTTTTTGTCGAATACTTCGAATTAGACGAGTGACTTCATTAGCGCTAACCACTAAGCAAGTGTTTTGTCTGTGTTCACATTTATTTTGTTTTTGAAATGAGGTTGATATATGTTGATAGTGAATGAAAGAAGATGGCAGATAACAAAGAAACAACAATCTTGGCCTATGCCTCTCTGCTATACTCCCTCCATTTTTATTTACTCCGCATATTAGTTTTGACATTTGTCAAAATCTGTAAAATTGGACCAAGATTATAGAAAACAATCTAGTCTTTTAGAATAACAGATGTATATGATGTGAAAATATATTCAATGGTGATTCTAATGTAATGATTTGGTATCGTGGACGTTAATACCTTTTCGTATAAACTTGGTCAAAGTTTACAAAGTTTGACTTAAGACAAAGCTAATATGCGAAGCAAATAAAAATGAAAAGAGTATTATATGTTCTGGAATTTTAGTTTCAAAATCCTTAGAAGTAATGTATATGCACCTATTCGCGAGATTGTACATTTCGTGTTCCCCACTTGGAAAATTAAACAAAAAGCACCTGCTCCTGTCAATTAGCTAGACAAGGACACACTGCAAGTTTGCAACTGGGTGCATGCAGCGACTGTAGCCTAAGGTATTTTCTTCAGACCAGAGAAACTGGGTGCTAGCTTTTGTCGACTTAATTCAGTACTGTAATGATGTTAGGCGAATAGCTAGATAGACAAAACGCACGACTGATTGCGGCGGGGGTAGAAGGCGAGCTCAGCCAGGTCTCGCTTAGTCGCTTATAGCATGATAACATCCCATGCCGTGGATGTTTGGTGGACATCGACCGGCACCCCAGATTAAATGAAAAGCGTCTATTGTCTATGACAATGTTTTGCTGCCAACCATCACTAAGCTCTAGGCCAGCAGTCCTGCGGAAGACAGCCACTGCCGCAAACCATCTCCACCGCGACCAGCGGTCCTGCACAAGACACACGCATGCTTTTTAACTTTAGAAGTGAACTAAAGCACATTCATTTTTGTAAACTACTCCCTCCGTTCATAAATATAAAATATTTTCGATATTTCAATATAGACTACTACAAAGTAAAATGAGTGAACAAACACACTAAAATGTGTCTATATACATCTAAATTTGATAAAAATTGGAACATCTTATAATAGTGAACGAAGGAAATATTTGATATTGAAGCAAATTCACATAATCCCGAAATAAAGCAGATAGAACATGACAAATATTGTAGGAGGCTAAATGAGCCAACTGGGCTAGGTGGGACTATGTACGACGGCTTAACGCGGAGGGATGGTTGTGCAGTGCCGGCGGTGGCACATCGCATGTAGCTGCAAGGATCGAGAAAAGTGGTGAAGACAACACATGAGTGACGTTGATGGTGGTGCTACTCGAGCACTCGGTCTCGAGCTCCGGGGTGAAAGCCTAGGTCTCCCGAGTCAGTTATACCTGGCAATGACAATGCTTTTATGTTGTTACCTTGTTCAAGGCATTGGTTGGATATGTTCAGATCGGTTCTTAAGGGTGAAAACCTAGACTGACCTTGGGAGGTTGGATCTAGTGACGTCAGCACTTGAGCGCCGCTCCTTTTATGAGGCGTCGTTGTTGACAAGCCTCGTCTCTCGTGTGGTGTCATGAGATGGTTGGTGTGGATATATGGTCATTGTTATAGTTTGCTAATCGTAGATCTGAACGCTTGATGTTTGTTCTTGTTTCCTCACCTAGATATAATTTTGGTCTTATATTACTTTGTTATTTGCTGATGGTTTTCTTGTGTGTCTATGTTGATGTCGACTATGTGCATCCTGCCTTATGCAGAGGCCGGGTGTGTGCAATGTGCTCATTTTATTTGTATCCTTTTGATGCTTCATTTTGAGCCAACAAAATCCATCATTTGTCAAAATATTACTTGTGTTTGAAGTTAGATATGCTAGGTTTCTCTCTGGATTGTTTAGTATTGTTGGCTCATTTAAAAAAAATAGACCAACTGGGAGGAGCCCCACAGTTTTTCTAGTTAAGAGGGAAGTTGTAGGAGGATGAGGACCCCGTCGCCGCTAGAAGCCACATAGGGCTTTGTCTGGCGACTCCGGCCGATGATGGGCAGTTAGAGGAACGGGGAGGAGGTGAACCTGCGGTGGAAGATGGATGCACCACCCGTATTGCCTAGGGAGTGCAACACATGTCCTCGGGGACTTTCGCGTCTTAAAAGGAGAGGATTTCACTTCTCCCGGCCTTTGCACCAACTAGAGATGCAAACAACCATTTTGATATGAGTACCATGATATTTATCTTGATGTGTAGTCTCACCACGCACCAAGTCTGGTCCTCAAAACTTTTTGTTTAGTGTGAGTACCAAGATTTTATCTTGATGAGTGGTCTCATTGTGTATCAAGCTTGGTCGTCAACGAAATAAAATGAGGAAAAAACCTTGTGCATCACCCGTCCATTCTAGGAATTTAACCCAGATGGTCAGGTTGGAGTACTAAACAATCTTGGTATACCATCACATGTAGAGGGAAGCTTAGCATTGTTGGGGAACATAGTAATTTCAAAAAAAAATCCTACGCACACGCAAGATCATGGTGATGCATAGCAATGAGAGGGAAGAGTGTGTCCACGTACCCTCGTAGACCGAAAGCGAAAGCGTTAGCACAACGCGGTTGATGTAGTCGTACGTCTTCACGATTCGACCGATCAAGTACCGAACGCACGGCACCTCCGAGTTCTTGCATACGTTCAACTCGATGACGTCCCTCGAACTCCGATCCAGCCGAGCTTCGAGGGAGAGTTCCGTCAACACGACGGCGTGGTGACGATGATGATGTTCTACCGACGCAGGGCTTCGCCTAAGCACTGCTACGATATTATCGAGGAAGACTATGGTGGAGGGAGGCACCGCACACGGCTAAGAGATCAATGATCAATTGTTGTGTCTATGGGGTGCCCCCCTCCCCCGTATATAAAGGAGTGGAGGAGGGGGCCGGCCAAGGGGAGGAGGCGCGCTCAAGGGGGGAGTCCTACTCCCACCAGGAGTAGGACTCCTCCTTTTCCTATTTGGAGAAGGACAGGGAAGGAAGAGGAAGGAGGGAGAGAAGGAAAGGGGGGGGCTCCCAATTCGGATTGGGCTTGGGGGGGGGGGCCTCCCTTGCTCCTTTCCCCTCCTTTCCACTAAAGCCCGTTAAGGCCCATATACCTCCCGGGGGGTTTCGATAACCTCCCGGAGCTCCGGTATTGTCCCAATCTCACCCGGAACCATTCCGGTGTCCAAATATAGTCGTCCAATATATCATCTTTATGTCTCGACCATTTCGAGACTCCTTGTCTTGTCCGTGATCACATCCGGGACTCCGAACTACCTTCGGTACACCAAAATACATAAACTCATAATATAACCATCATCTAACTTTTAAGTGTGCGGACCCTACGGGTTCGAGAACTATGTAGACATGGCCGAGACTCGTCTCCGGTCAATAACCAATAGCGGAACCTGGATGCTCATATTGGCTCCTACATATTCTACGAAGATCTTTATCGGTCAAACCGCATAACAACATATGTTGTTCCCTTTGTCATCGGTATGTTACTTGCTCGAGATTCGATCGTCAGTATCTCAATACTTAGTTCAATCTCGTTACCGACAAGTCTCTTTACTCGTTACGTAATGCATCATCCCATAACTAACTCATTAGTTACATCGCTTGCAAGGCTTATAGTGATGTGCATTACCGAGAGGGCCCAGAGATACCTCTCCGACAATCGGAGTGACAAATCCTAATCTCGAAATACGTCAACTCAACAAGTACCTTTGGAGACACCTGTAGAGCACCTTTATAATCACCCAGTTACGTTGTGACGTTTGGTAGCACACAAAGTGTTCCTCCGGTAAGCGGGAGTTACATAATCTCATAGTCACAGAAACATGTATAAGTCATGAAGAAAGCAATAGCAACATACTAAACAATCAAGTGCTAAGCTAACGGAATGGGCCAAGTCAATCACATCATTCTCCTAATGATGTGATCCTGTTAATCAAATGACAACTTATGTCTATGGTTAGGAAACTTAACCATCTTTGATTCACGAGCTAGTCAAGTAGAGGCATACTAGTGACACTATGTTTGTCTATATATTCACACATGTATTATGTTTCCGGGTAATACAATTCTAGCATGAATAATAAACATTTATCATGATATGAGGAAATAAATAATAACTTTATTATTGCCTCTAGGGCATATTTCCTTCAAGCATATTTATCTCAATTGCAAGTACTAAGAGAGCAAGAATAATCTCTCACTACTGGAATCAGCAGATTTGCCGTTTGCCCACTCTTTGTCATCCGCTAGCGGACGACAAAGGTAGGCTTTGCCATTAGCCACCAGAAAACGAACGACAAAGAGGCAGCGGACAGCAAAGGTAGGCTTTGCCATCAGCCAACTCTTTGCCGTCTGCTAGCAGACGGCAAAGAGGGTGGGTGACGGGCTACCGAGAACAACCTAACGGCTACTTTCTTTGCCTTCTGCTAGCGGATGGTAAAGAATCTTTGCCATCAGCTAGCAGAAGGCAAAGAGAAAGCACACCATGCGGATCGACCACACGGGTCGATGACATGACTCCTGAGAGCCACCCCCAC